CCCCAAAACCCCAAAACCCCAAAACCCCAAGTTATAAAAACTAAGTTGAATCCAAAGAAATAAAATTTCTTTGGGCTGTCCTTCAGTTTAAAATTAATAGAATTTAAGGAGATAAGCCTTTTCTCTTGTAAAATAGCCTAAGGTCATTAATACATTTCTACTCTGCACATCTTACTTCTTCCGAGTGTTTCAAATAAGTTAAAAGAACCCTCTTATCTCTTTCAGCTATGCCACGAACTATCTCAATATTCATCAGCTCCCCAAATCTTGACTGAACACAGCTAAATATGTTAAAATTTTTGGCGCATTGGCCTTATTCAACTAAACAGATCCTTTACAGACCAAGTCTTTAACTCTGGCTATATTTCAAGAAACTTTACCATAGCAAAACTAGGCTTAGAATCATAACAAAAGTATTCATAGTTCCTCTTAAAGAGAAATAGCAGTCCTTTCATCTGGCTTTAAAACTACTACTCTTGTTTTCTTGCAAATTTACCTTATAAGGACACTTACAGGATTCTGAGTTTCTCAAGACCCATAATATAGCAAGGTTCTAAGCTCAAGGCTTCAAAAACTCTTCAGATTAGGATATAAGACCAAGCTGGTTCAATTTTACATTAGGAAACAAGTTCTTATTCTTTCAAATTTACTGTAATTTCAAATATTTTTAGAATTAGTTCAGAATCTAGAAAATGCATACAATATTGAAATATTCACACCTAAAATTGGACCGGGAAACTATTGATTTTGTAAATTCTGCCATCAAAATTCCCAAATTCAGATAGTATCAAGGAAATATTGTACTAAAGTTTATTTTAGTTTGCTTTAAAAAGAATAATTTCACCTTTATTTCCCCTTAGAAAAAATCTCTATTGAAAGTTTCAATAAAAAGGAGCTCTCTAAGCTCTATTTCTAATATTTTATGGCACGAATAGGCTTGATGCTTCAAAAAATGTCTGCATTAATTTTGTTCTTACAAATTGTCACAAAACCACATTCTTAAGCTCTAGACAAGAATTACACAGTCTTAGGATTCCAAATCATTCTGAATTTCTTAAATATTATCTCCCACCAGAACACGTATAGATAAGTCCATTAAGAATTCTACCCTTACTCTAATCTTGCTTATCCAGGCAAAACGCTAATACCTGACTAAACTAAGGATGAGCCCCTGCACATTTTAGGCAAATTAATGTTTTTAGTGATAACGAACCCTTGCTTTGTGCTAAATTCTCAGTGAATTCTGAACTGTTCATCTCTATAGTTCTAAATTGATCACTGTTGTGTTAATGTTTTCTTCAAGAATTGATCTTTATAGTTACATATGGTACCTGGTGCTAAGTTTAGCTCCCCAGAATCTATCATTAATTGAAATATTAGCCCTGTTAGTAACTGTGGCTAGAAATTATGAAGTACCATGGCAGCTACAAAGTCAAGAACTCAGGGTTAGAGAGGATCTTAAAAGTATTCCAAAGCATTAGACTTTTGAGGAGACTTTAAATTCTTATTTTTGAGTCGAATTTGGGCTAAAGTATTTTGGATAATTTATAATTATGATACCTATAATTAGAACTAAGAAATTTTCAAAAAATTTAGAAAAATTATACTTATTTTATCGAATAAATCCTCACTGACTTTTAAGTAAGAGAATTTCCTATATCTGTAAGCATTTTGAAATAGCTCTAGGTGCATTTTTATTAATTTAAACCTATCTATGTCATTTCAAGTCTCTATGAATTATCCTAAAATATAGGCTATCTTACATTCAAATATACTCGAATAGAAATTAAATTGTTTGACCAGGAAAAGGCCTCTACACTTTGTTGCAATCCCAAGCAGACTTTATACTTGAAGAAATCAAATTATAAAGAAAATACTAAGAATTCTAAAAATTTCTAATAGTATTCGGAAGAGAAATCTCGGTCTATCCTGAAAAAGGATTTTTGCCATCGAGTAGCTTGATTTAGTTGACTTGTTATATTTTTCTTAATGTGTTTGAAAATTCTGAAGAAATTTGACTACTATCTTATATTTTAAGATAAACAGATTTTGAATGATGGTAAATTTAGCTTAAATTTAATCTTAAAAAGTACTTTTTGTACGACTTGAAGGAAATTTTAGTGCGGAAAATAACAGTTTGGGAGATTTTGAAGGAAGAAATTGGTCTAAGAGGGACTTTGGGAGAGAGAGGGGGAAAGAGAGGTGTGAGCTGGGGAAGTGGGGGTGTAAGTGAGAGGAGTTATGTGGGAAAGATTTAGGGCAATTTTTAGCATCAAATTAATATTGGTGATTTAGGACTTGCAGGTAAGAACGTGAAAGAGCGGCCTGAGTATTAAGTCGTCATTCGTTTAGGCATTTGTTACTGTGATGCAGAGGTCTCTTAGATCATTGTTATCTGAGTTATTGAGGTAATACTTTAGTAATATTTTGAAGCTTTCCGACTGGAGTCATTTATGTAACCTATTGTGAGAAAATTTGAATGTGAGATCAATGAAATCCTTCATCTCTTGCTTCAATCTGAAGCAACAAGAGAGCTGATGAGCCTTCTTGATGCGGGTTACTCCAATTGTGTAGTAAATAAGCTCGTCTGTGAGGTGTTCTTCTTCAATGATGTCTTCCAATGTCAAATACATATGCTGGTGAATTTTGGTTTGACATATCTTGGTGTATCTTCTTGGAACGGTATCTTGATTTTTGGTTCTGAATGCTTCTTTGTAAAATTTTCTGAATTGACGAAGCGCATGCTTTGCAACTAAGTCTTTTCTTCTAGACGTCTCCTTGACTGTGTTTAAATAAGAAGGTTTAGCAGTCGAAACAATCCTTTTGGAGCTTCGAGAAAATGATGTATTTTTTATTTCTCATAAAGTTCTAGTCTGAAGAGAAGCTTCTGATCCTTCAGAAATTTGATTCTTTCTCGTATTAGTAATACAAGAACTAGAGGACACATTTAAGGCTCTATCAACATTTTCCATTTTGTAAAGCTCAATTTTATTGAGTTTATGACCATCATTTAGTTGGGAGCTACTTGATCTTACAAGATCATTTAAATTACTTTTAAGAATCATATTCTTTCCAAATCAGCTCCAATCAAGCTCACTTACTTTAACTCTCTAATATAAAAATTAAGCACCAAAAAATTCATAAAAATCCTCTCCTCCCAAATTCTCCAAAAACTCGAAAATTTCAATAAATTAGACCCAAAAAACATCCAAAAATTCCCTCTATCCCACATTCCCCCAAATTCCCCACCCCAACACCTAAAAAATTACCTGATCTCCATTCCCACTGAGACCCCTCTCAAACACACTATCATAACACCCCCTTCTACTTTCTTCCTCTCCAGGCCAATTCTCTTCTCTACCCCAATCTTCCATATTTATTAAACTATTAATATAACTTGAAATCTCAACTTAAAATCCCAGTCACGGGGTTTTGGGGTTTTGGGGTTTTGGGGTTTTGGGG